CTGACCCCCCCGTTACCGCCCTGACCCCCAGAGAGAAGCAACCTGGCCGGCGTGCGGCACGTGCTGCTGGTGCTCTCGGGCAAGGGCGGCGTGGGCAAGAGCACCGTGGCCACCGAGCTGGCCCTGGCCCTGCGGCTCGCGGGCAAGCGGGTGAGTGAGGGCCGGGCGTGCGGAGCCCTCCGTGGTGGAGGCTGCTGCCGTGAGCACCGGGGTCTGCGTGGGCGCTGGGTGCCTGTTTGCTCCTGCATGTCCAGCCCCAGGGTGCATGYGCGCTTCACTTCCCCACTAACCAGGAGGCTGAACTGGCCCTCCGAGGAGTTACACGCGCTGTTGGCAGAAGGGGTCTCCAGGCACCCTCTGGGTGCTGTGAGCTGCGCAGTGGCCGGCGCTGCGGTGCTGAGCGCTGCGTGTTGCCTGCAGGTGGGGATCCTGGACGTGGACCTGTGCGGGCCCAGCATTCCCCGCATGCTCCGGGTGCAGGACAGCGCCGTGCACCAGTGCAACAGCGGCTGGGTGCCCGTCTTCGCCCACCAGGACAAGAGCATCTCGCTCATGTCCATCGGCTTCCTGCTGGAAAAGCCCGATGATGCTGTGGTGTGGAGAGGACCCAAGAAAAACGGTACGGATTTATCAACGGTAACAACGTTCCCACGCTGGGCACCTTCTGCAAAGCTTCCTGGAGCTAACGCCTGCTCTGCCCGGGACCCCGTCCGTCATCGTGTCCCTTGGCAGCCTGTGCTCCGAGGCAGCTGCCGTGTGGAAGCCCCTCTCCTGGGACAGGCCGGTGGCTCAGAGGCAGCCGATGTAGGTGGCCTGGGGGAGCCTTTGTCACTGCTGGGACCTTGTCCACAGTGAAGGTGTCTCCCATGTGCCAAGTCCGTGTGGCGCTGCCTGGCTGCGCTGGGGCTGTCCCCCCGGCACACATCAGTGTCCTGCCGTCACAGCGAGGTCCCCACATGTAGCCAGGGGCTGTGGAATCCCACTGGCCTTGGAGAGGGCTCCAGAGGACATGGGGGGAGGAGGATGGGACCTGCACTGCGTGGTTGTCCCCTGAGCGGGTTTGGGTGGTCCAAGCTGAGCTGCATGTGCTTTGCTGAAGGGCAGCCCTGCTCTCTCCCCGCTGTCCCCCAAGGTGCCTCCTGGCCACGTGGCTCCCAGGACACTTGCTAAAWCCTGAGGTTTCTTTTTTCTACCCCTTTCATTTCTGCAGCTTTGATAAAACAGTTTGTCTCTGATGTGGCCTGGGGGGACCTGGACTTCCTCATTGTGGACACTCCTCCGGGCACCTCGGATGAGCACATCTCCACGGTGGAGGCTCTGCGGCCGCACAAGCCCCTGGCAGCAATCCTGGTCACGACGCCTCAGGTAGGGCRATTCATACCTGGCAATATGCACCCGAGGGCAGGTGTTTTCACAGGTGCCTCTTTGCTTTACACCTCTGCCTCCTGAGGTAGCCACAGGGTGTCCCTTAGGCCATCCCAGGCGTTTGTCAGTCAGTTGTGAGTCAAGCCTGCTCTCGAATCCATTTTACTGGTATTTGCCTCCTTTTAGACGAGCACAGCCAGGGACTGCCCAAGTGTGAGACCTGCTGGAGAACTGAGTACATATGTCACAGGTCTTGATGCAGCTGCAGTTTAACACCCTCAGCCCGTGCAGCACTGTRCCCTGTGCTCTGCTCTCGTGGTGTTTGTCAAGGACTCGTAACACAACCTGTGGCACAGGGCAGGACATCTGCTRAACCCCGTTCTCCATGGATGCTGGAAGCTGCCTCTGTGTGTGTTTGTTCCTGCTGCCGAGCTGCAGGCTGGCTGGGGAGGCGGGTGCCCCTAACTCTTGCTGCCCTCCCCTCCAGGCAGTGTCTGTGGCGGACGTGAGGCGAGAACTGACCTTCTGTAAGAAGACGGGTTTGCGAGTTCTTGGCATCGTGGAGAACATGAGTGGTTTCGTCTGCCCGCATTGCTCGGTGAGGTTCCTGCTGCTGCTGGGCTTCTGGGGGCTCTTGCTCGTGGTGCTGCTGCTGCGTGATCAGACCYCTCTGGCTGGGAATCCCTGTAAGGGGCTCTGTGCCTGTTTGCTGAGTGTCCTGGCCGCAGCGCGGGAGGTTCGGAAGGACCTGTGGGCCCTGCTTCCCTGCAGGGAGCTGCGGTGGGCAGGGATGAGGAGGGTTGCCCTGGGACTGGAAGGTGGAAGGGTTATCCTGCTCACACCCAAGCAGTGCCTGCCTTGCTGCTCACTGGTGGTTATGACTAACTGTTATTCCTCTTCCTCCTTCAGGAGTGCACAAACATCTTTTCCAAAGGGGGAGGTGAGGAACTGGCAAAGCATGCCGGAGTCCCTTTCCTCGGTGAGTGGCTGCTTGAGCAGAGCCCTCCTTGTTTAGAGGCGGTCTCTGTACAGTGTGGTGGTTGTGTGGGAGTGCTGGAATGGAGAGACACTATAGACACAATGCAGCGGGTAGAGAGGCTGGGCCCTGGGAGCCCTTGGGGCCTAGGCAGAGGCAACATGTGGCTGTTGCTGCTTCTCTCTGCATCCAAAATGCTCACAGGGGCTTCTGGCCCATCTGGAGCAGAGGCAGTGATACCTGGCAGGGTGCTGYGGTGACAGAGTAATCAGGCCCATAGCCCCATGACCATCCTGAAACATCATGGAGCCTCCCCAAGAAATCTAGTGTGGGGATTGAACCCTGCCCTCTGGACAGGGATGGAATTGGGGTGGGAGGGCATCTGTCACAAAGTCCTGTCTAAGCACAAAGTTGTGTGGCTTTGCCCTGGAGCCAGAGAGAAGCCCTACAGGTGAAATGCAACTGCCAAGGGTTTCAAAGAGGATATGTTCCCTCTTTCCTACTGCTGTCCCAGGGGATGAGTCAGTYGGGTATTTCTTCATTGCTGACAGGCAGTCACTCTCGCCTTCCCTCCCCTCTCCCACAGGCTCTGTGCCCCTGGATCCACAGCTCAGCCAGAGCTTGGAGGATGGCAGAGACTTCATCCAAGAGTTTCCCAAGAGCTCTGCCTTCCCGGCCCTGGCCCACATTGCCCAGCAGATCTTGGATGGGACCCCGCGAAGCTCCTGACAGGGCTGTTGAGTCGGACTCTTGCTGGCTGAGTTCCTTCCGAGCAGCCCCTAGGATACTTAGAGCAGGGAGGGAGGGAGCATCTCACTGGTGCCACCTCTGGAGAATGGAAAAGGGAAGTGCYGCTCCACCTTGCCCTGGGTTCGAGGAGACTCTGGTGGGTGCATCTGCTCATCTGCAGCCTCCTTCTTGCCTTCTGAACAGGCAGGTTCTGCCTGCCTGGTGCTGTTGTTCTAGGCCCTCCCACGCTGTGCACCCCTCTGCGAGCTGCTCCCTTGCACAGGTACTTGTGGAGCTCCACGTTGTTGTCCCATTTACTGCAGTGTTCTTGGCAGTGAATGTAACTAGCAGCTACAGTGGCTCCTACCGCTGGCTGACGTGCTTGTTCCCTCACAAAACCCAAAAGATGCAGCTAGTGCCYGTGTGTCACCTCCACACGTGGCTGCCTCCTCTCCTCTTGCTTTTGCTGCTTGACACATTATGTGGTACTTGTGGTGGGTTTGTGCCAGATGCTCTGATCTGTGTCTACGTCCAAGCACCTCACTCTCAACTCCAACATCATGGGTACAGATTATGCCTCTGAGGGCCTGGCATGCGCTTTGTATACAAAAAAAAGTCTTTGAGTGGTCTATCCATTTGATATCTGCATCCTGCCTGTCTGAAAAATGCCATTTCTTGGTCTTCTGGGGCTTGTCATGACTCAGGAATATYTTTAAAGGTTCTAGACAGTAAACACTTTTCTTAAAATCACTGCAKTGTTCATGTTTTTCCATTGCTTTAGTGCTCTGTAGCTGTGACTGTTGGTGTTAAGAGCAGCTCATTTATCTCTGAGCATTTTCTGCTTTTCCTTCTTCCCCCCRTCCCTTGCTAGCTGGGGTGCAGCCAAAGCTTTCCACCTTCCATGCCAGCTTTTATGATCCAGCCATGGCCCTTCATTGCAGTATCCTCTGTGGCACCTGATGCACAGGGGGCTCCTTCAGCCCCCCAGGCAGTTTCCTTGCTCATGGAAGTTTTCCATGCTCGTGGGTCTGAGCATGCGACTTCCTTCAGCCTCCTTCCCCTGGGAGCTGCTGTTAAAACTTGAGTTTCTCTTCAGTGGTCCAGGACTAGCAAGGAACTTAATGGAAATGGTGTCTGCCCCTTACGGGCTCTCTGCTTGTCCTTGGCCTCGTCCTCTCCATGCTCTGCTCAATGCTGAGGACTCATCCTTGCTTTGCTGACTGACTGGGTGGGGGCAGAAGTCTCAGATTTTCACTACCAGCTCAATTATATTTGAGAACAGCTACAAAGCAATCAAAGCATCTGTCCATCCTGCGCTCTGTATGCATGGCTAAAACTTGCGTCTGCCCAGGTTTCCTCACCCGCTACTTTCTTTCCTGGAAATTTTGTCTGACCTTTGGTCACTTATCTCTCGTGGGAAGTCAGGCAGTAGGGTTGGAGTCTGACCGAGCTGTTAATTTGTGCAGGATTTCTGAGTACCTGTTGCTGTCTCCAGGAGCAAACCCGAGCCCTGGGCCTGCACTAGGTCCCTCCTGCCCTCACTGCTGCTCAGCGTGCTGTTACGTGCTGTGTTGGCTGTGTGTTTCTCCATAAGAAAGCCTGCCTGGTGGTTTGGGTTCCTAGAATGATTCTCTTAAACCAGTGCCAGATGCAACCTGGAGGGCGACCCCAGGACATTGGCCTGAGCTGGAAGCTGCCCTTTGCATGAGTAGAGGTGAGTTGGACATGAGGGTGGCTGGCAGCAATGGCAGCTGTTGTTGCAATGCAGGATGAGCCACGCGGTGCAAATCCTGCCCTGCAATTGCTCCTGTGAGGAGAGGCTACAACCAGAGTCCAGGTGTATGAACTGGCATCACTGGGATTGCTGGGCAGTGGGTGCCGACCCTTACTGCCCACGTGTGCTCTAAACAACACTGCGCCCTCTGAGACCCATCAAAGCCTTTCCTTCACAGCTGGGCATCTTACAGAGAAGCTGCTGCAAATTCCTCCTGTTCTTCACGTGAGAAGGTCCAGCCCTTCTCACCGAAGGGTGAGAAACCCTTCTCACACCGAAGGGCGTCGCGGGGACTTGTTAGGGTGTCACAAAGGCCTGGGGAGCCGGAGCTGCTCTATAGGGCGAGACACGTGGGTCCCTGTAGCCCTGCGGGCGTCCCCCGGCTGCAGCGGGGAGCAGCCGGGTGCCGTGAGCCCCGTAGCTCCCCACAGCCTCGCTCTTCGGCTCTGCACGGAGGGGCTCTGATAAGACATCCCAGCGGGGAGCGGCACAGCCCTTCGGAAAAACAGGCTTACAAGGTGGGTTGCGATAGCTCCAAAGGTTTATTTGCCTGCTGCGATTTATCAGGTAAGTGACATGCACGGCTTTCTGTAACCTGCCTACATCTSCTATTGCAAGGAATGATTAAAGAAAGTCCCTGAACCTAGAGGAGAGCTCATGGCTTTCTAGGATTCCCTTTAAACCTGCAAAAGAGCCCCCTGGGCAGAGGCGAACCTGAGCCCTTGGCATGGTCTTCTCTAAGCCTTGGGCTCCTGGCTGCTGTGTGATGGGGTGTCAGGCTCTCGGGCTCCTGACTTTGTGCCCGGGTCCTGCTTGTGGAGGAGGCTGCAGTTTGCCAGCAACGCACAAGAGTGGCGCGTGGCTGGGTGCCCTGGGGGAGCCCACAGCTCCTGCCCTCYGTGCGGTGAGGGTGTTGGGAAAGGCCCAGAGGAAGCTGCACAGCGCTTGGCACCCGCTCGCTTGGTTCCCGGCAGGCAGTTGCTTCGTTTCCTTGTAATTCTGATAAGTGGGGTGCTGGGGCCGAGCTCCCTGTCTGTCCTCAGGATGGTTCTGCTGAGCCTCAGAGATTCCCTGACTATGGCGAGGGCTCTGCTCCAAGGGTAGGTGCCTTTACCTCACCCCGAGCGGCTGCCAGAAGCAGCTCGGAGATGCTCAAGGCTTCCTGCCCAGGGTGGGCAGGCTGGGGGCTGCCGTGGAAATAACCCAGATAGTTSAGTTGGAAGCCAGCAAAGCCCCTTTGGGCAGCTGGTGCCCATCTGCCCGTCCCTGCCATCCCCTTCAAGCAGACRTAGCCCGAGGAGCGCGGCCTCCCCGGCTCACTGCGTGCCAGCCCCTGCCCTGCTGCTGTTCAAAATTGCCCGTACGCGGCTCTCAGTTCAGCATGGAGAGGGCTAAAGCCAGCGGGGAAACCAGGATGACCACGTCAACCCGGAGAGCCCGGCCCGGCCGGGGAGCTGCTGGCCCGGGGGCTGAGAAGGGGCAGGTGGCAGCTCGGGCCACGCGCCCAGGCCGCTGTCAGCAGTGAGCAAAGTCGTCCTCGCTGGTGTCACGCAGATCCAGGCCCGTCACGTTCGGCGGGTGCAGGCAGGTGAGGTTGTTGTAGGTGTACACGGGCACGTGGGAATCGTCGCCCTCCACCACGGACTGCACGAACCGTGGGACCACGACCGGGTGCTGCAGAGAGAAGTCCCGCAGGCCCTTCAGGGAGCAGTTACAGTGCCAGTTGTTCCCCTCCAGCCACAGCTGCTCCAGCGTGAATGAGGAGCACAGGAAGCTGACGGAGAAGGTTTCCAGGGAGTTGTTCCTGAGGCTGAGGTACCGCAGGTTTGACAGCGGGGAGATAACTGTGTTGTCCAGTGTCTCCAGCTGGTTGTTTGAGAGATCGAGCCAGAAGAGTCTCTGGAGTGGGCTGAAAGTGTCCTGTGAGATCTCCAGGAGATGGTTGGAGGAGAGAAAGAGGTACTCCAGGTTGCTTAGTCCCACAAAGAGATTGGGTGAGAGGTGGCTCAGCCTGTTGTGCTTCAGATCGAGCTCCAGGAGTTCATGCAGGTCGCTGAAGCTTTGGTCTTCAATGACCGAGATGGCGTTGTGCTGTAAGAAGAGCCTCCGCAGGCTGGAGAGGCTGGAGAATGTGTTCGTTCTGATCCTGCCGAGGCAGCTGTGCTCCAAGTGAAGGCTGTGCAACTTGGTGACMCCCTTGAAGACATGGTCAGGGAGCACCTTGATGCAGTTGGCAGACAAGTGCATCACTGCCGTGTTGTGCAGCCCCTGGAACGCCCCAACCCTGATATCCTGTATCTGGTTGTTGTTCAGGGTGAGGACCTCCAGCTGCCCCAACCCATCRAAGGTCCTTTCTGCCAGGCCTCTGATCCTGTTGTGTCCCAGCTGCAGCTCCTCCAGGAACTGGAGGTCTTTGAAAGTCCTGGGTCTCAGGCTGGTGAGGGAATTGGTGGATAAGCGTAGGACATGCAGGCTCATGAGACCCAAAAAAGTGTCCTCAAAGAGTGAGACAAGCCGGTTATGTGAGAGATCAAGCCACCGGAGCGACTTCATGCCCATGAAGGCGCGGGGTGCAATGGCGCTGATCTGGTTGTGGTTCAAGTACAACTTCTGCAGCTTCTGCAGCTTGACAAAGATGTTGATCTTGATTCCCTTGAGAGAGTTCCCGCTCAGATCCAACTCCTTCAGCTCAGTAAGGCTGCAGAAGAGCTGGTGCTGCAGGTACAGGAGCTTGTTTCCAGCSAGGATCAACTCCCTCAAGTTGGGTAAATCATGGAAAATCCTGTCAGGCAAGACCACGAGTGAATTCCAGCCCAAGTTCAGATACCACAGGTTGGAGAGCCCAGCAAACAGCCCTTCCTCCAGCTTGATGAAGAGGTTGTTGTTGAGGCTCAGGGACACGAGGTTTTGCGTGTGAAGGAACGTGTGGGGTGCCAAGTGCTTGAGCCGGTTGCGCTCCAGGTGGAGGTGGTAGAGGCTGCGCAGCCCGTGGAAGGCGTGCTGCTCCACGGCGCCTAGCTGGCTGCTCTGCAGGTTGAGGAAGTCCAGGCTGGAGAGGTTCCTGAAGGCTGCGGCCGGCAGCACGGTGAAGTTGTTGCTGTCCAGCCAGAGGGCTTTGGCGTTGGTCGGGACGTCCTCGGGCAGGTGCGTGAGGTTGCGCGCGCTGCAGAAGACGTTGAGCTCCTCGCTGTAGTCGTCGAAGCTGCAGGCGCACGAGCCGGGGCATCGCAGCGGCTCCGCGTCCGCCTGCTCCTTCTGGGCTTCTCCCTCCGGCGGCTGCGACGCGGTGGCCAAGAGCAGGGCCAAGGGGAGCAGGAGAGCGACGGCTGCTGCAGGAGCAAGGGAATAGGAAGCATTAGCTGGTCAATGCAGCACAAGGAGGCAATAGCGAGGGACTGCGTTTCCTACGTGGTGGCTGCTGTAGRAGATGATCCTGGGCTAGGAGAGCCCTCCTGACCTTATTGCGTCCTAGCAAAGCYGCCTGCCCGGCCTGGCTGGAGTGATCTCTGCTCCCTGGCCGACTGTGTGGCCGTGGAGCTGCCTGGTCTGCGCCATGACCAGGAGGTTCCTGGTGTGGGTCCAGCCTCCTGCTCCGCACCGGTCCCGCGTGCCGGCGTCGCCTGCTCTGCTCCGTCCTGCGGCTTCCCAGCCTGGCGCCTCAGCTGCCTCTGCTGATGGAGGCCTGGGCTGGTGGAGGCGAGCGAAGAGGGGAGGCTGGGGCCGTGCGAGCCGGTGTGGGCTGCGTCTCCCGTGGCCGCCCGGCTCCCGGCCCTGCCCTCCTCCTTGAGGAAGCGATTCCTGGGGCAGGGAAAAGCCACAGCAGGGACCGTGGGGCGAAGCAGGACAGCGGCAGGGACAGCTCAGTGTGGCCATGAGGAACAGCGGGAGTCAGAAGAACCTTCCTCTCCCTCTTGCTCGCCCTTGACTTCTCCATTGCTGCCTCGCTGCTGACTTCTCCATTCCCCTCCCTTTGCTCCCAGGGCCCAGGCCGCTCCGTGGTGCCCGTGGGATCGGGAAGCAGGGCCGCGCTCCGGGCAGCTCTGCTTTATTTTCCCCGCAGCGGTTTCTCCCAGGCACCTTGGGCCCAGTTACGGCAGATGCGGCCGCAGCCACCRCGGCGGGGCCGGGGCCGCAGCGCAGCCGCTCCGTGGCCATCCCCTCCTGCGGCCGTGGTGCGAGCGCCGCGCGGCGCCCTTGGCTGTCGAGGCAYGCGGGAATGGGCGGAATGGCACCCTTGGTTTCCCGGCAGCCGCCCTCGCTGTGGAACCAGTTTCCCCAGGGTCCCAACCGGCGCTTTGGGAGCACCCGCTGCCGAGGTGGCTCTGGATCCCATGCGCTTTGGGTGCTCCCATCCACGSTGTGCGCGCTAAGCGGTACCACGCGCCTCTGGGCCTCTATCTGCCCTTTGGAAAGCCCGTGACCAGTGCTAGCAGGATTGCACCGGGCTCCAGTGCAGCTTGGACCTCCTTTACTGACCCTTTAGTGCGCGGAGCCTCTGTAGCCCCTGCACTGGGGGGTCCCTGCACTGGGGGTCCCTGCACCAGCCGGGCAGTCCGTCCAGGTTCCTCTCGCTTCTGTCTTCGTGCTGGCAGCCAATGCCCCTTTCCCTCCTTTCTCCTCAAATGGACAGGACCTTTCCTGCAGTGGAGGCCACCACCTCTGTGCAAAGACCCTTCCCGGAGCCACCTTTGGTGCAGGCCCACGCTCCACACTTGGGGCCACACGACGACTGCCAGGGAGACATTGGGACCCTCAAGGAATTTTGCAGCGAAGGTGGGCAGGAAAAAAAGTCGTATGGAGGAGGAAGAGGTTAAGGGCAGCTGGACTGCAAAGTCCAGGGAGAGTGTCACCTTCTCCCGCGGTGCAGGGTGGGTGGCCGGGCACCCCGGCAGCGCGGGACGCTCCTTACCTTGCCGGGGGCTCATGGTGGCCGCCGGGCGGGACGGCAGCGCTCCGAGTCCGCCGGCTGCCTCTGCGGCTCCCCCACCGCGCGAGCAGGGATGGAGCAACCACCTTGACGCCCGTCCAGCCGCGCGGGCCCGGGTTAACCCCGCCGCTGCTGGGCCCCGGCGCCGCTCGGGAACGGGGAGCTCCGGGCACGGCCGCTCGGCTGGAGAAACGCCGGGCTGCAAACAGGAGACTGAAACATCTCCCCTCTCTCCCAGCCCCGAGCAACAATTACTTTTTGCTCGCGGRTGGGGTGAAATGGGACACGGACGTGCAGGGCCTGGGGAGCTTGCTGCGTGCTGAGAGYTCATGCTGGAGAGGAGACGGCGTTTGGATCCGCAGGGACGTTCTGGCCCTGGGAGGAAGGTCAAGTGCTGCAGGTTGGGGGTCTGGGCTGGCCTGACTGGGGGCTGTTCCGGAGCTGGAGTCAGGCTGGAATCAGCACATGGAGCTGGACAGGAAAGTGAGGAGCTGGGAGGCTGCTGGGCCTTCCTGGCTGGAAGAGGAGGGATTTGCTCTGTGGTTCCCCACAGACCCCCTGCTTCGATTAGTTGCAACCCCATGAAATGAGTGAGCAACTCTGCGGTGTCTYGTGGTGAGATGGGCACCTCTGCTGGGGCTGCCCCAGTGTGAGCGTGAGAGGCTGGATCCCATCCAGACCTGGAAATGTCCTCCAGGATCTGCAGCATCCAGGGTACATGGGGAGCTCGAGGGGGCCCGGGGTGCTCTTATGGGGAGATGAAGGCAAAATGCCTAAGGTTTTGTATTGATAAAAGGAAGAGATGAGCTGAAAAATGGGAGATGTTCTTGTCTGGCATTGAAAACCTCAGAAATGTAGGAAAGAGAAGAGTCACTGGTGTGTAAAGCTGGGTAGGAATAAAGTGAGCCTAGGGTTGCCCTGGCCCATTAATGGCAACAGGAGGTGATGGTGCCCAGCAGCTCTGGGACAGCTGGAGGAGGGCTGTGAAACTACTGCTCACCCCAGGCAGATAACTGAGAGTTTTCCACAGTTACTCACCCTGCTAGTGAGTGGAGCTCTGTGTGGAGCTCGACTCTCAGGGAGAAGCTGCATCCATGCGGATTTTGCCTAACGCTCTGCCAGGTTTGGTGGGCAGGCCCTGGGAAGGAGCARGGCTTGGTGGGCTGTGCATTTTGGGAAGGGCTTCTCCTCGTGCAGACCTAGAGGCCTCCGTGTTACCTGCTAACCAGTGATGTCCCTCGTACCTGCCATGGCTGGGAAGGGCCCTGGGGCTCTCTGCTCCATGGGCACCAGGGTTTGGCCCTGGGGAAGGAGCTGGGCAGGCTGGGGGTGATGRATGATGCTCAGGAACCAACTTGGAGCTGGAAGATCGCAGTCTCCTGCCAGAGTCATTTGGCAGCTTGTCAAAACCGCTCGGGGAGGCTCATGAACTCATCCTGTATTCCAGGTCATTTCCCCACTTGCCCTTGTCCAACCCAGCTTCTGAAGAAACTTTTACCAGTTTCCAGGAAAGGAAAACATATTCTATTCATTCTATCTGTCTCCCATAGAAGAGCCTAGTTGGCCAGGGGTTGCCCTGGAGGTGGTGGTTTGCTGCCCTTGTAGTAGCTGCCCGATGAGACCATAGAAACGTGGCTGCAAACCCCTTTCTGACTATTGCAGTCATGTCTTTCCGTGATGGTGCACGTGAAGTGGGGCTGGTGTTGGACACCATTTACTGTCGCAGTTCAACTTGCTGCCTCTGAGACGTGGGATCCTCAGTGTGGTGGTCCTGCCTGCAGATCCTGCTGTCCTGCCTGCAGATCCTGCCGTCCCGTAAGCACCGCGACCGCGTGGGGCTGCTGCCGAGAGCACCCACCTTGTGCCCGTCACGGTCCGAGATCTCCAGCGCCCTGAGGCTCTACGTGACGTGGGTGCCCACGTGGGTGCTCAAGGATGGTGAGCGGGGGGCTGCGAAGGCTGCATAGCCCCATGGTGCTGCTGCTGCCTCTCCTGTATCTTGCAAGGAGCCTCCTCYAAAGGTGGCCATGGGCCGAACAGCTCCTGCGCTGGGACTTCTGGCCACTGTTGATGGTCAACCAGGGAGAAAGAAAACGGGCAAATCCCAGGTAAGATGCAAAGGAGGAGAGGCCAAAGCCAAGAGGGTCAGTCCAGGGCTCAGGCTGCTCCCTCCAGCAGCCAACGTGGCAGGAGCTTCCTGCAGGACAGGACACCCCAACCCAGAGAGCAGCAGTCACACAGGCTGCTCTGGGGAGTCCATAGGAACAGGGAAACACCTTGGCCATCAAGCTGGGGCTCTGGTACATTTAAAATAGTGTAACGGCCTGCGCAGGGGGGCTGAGGTCTCTCACGTGCCCCRGTGTCTGATAGGAATGTGCCCATGGGAACGAGCATTAGCGAGAAAAGCGGAGAATCCCACATTTCTTTGCTCAGTGCAGCCAAACTTCTGCAGTTCAGTTAAATAAGAACTGCTTTTCTCAGTGTTTTTTTTTTTTTTTTTTTGCATTGAAGTGGTGCTCTCCTCCCCCTCTATTTTAATCTTCTATTCTGGGAAATTATAGATCTGAAGGGAGAAATGAGAGATAGAGACAAATGTATCCACTAATAGGCGCTAAGCACATATTGACACAAGGTGTAATCAATCTGGAAGCTGAAAAGAGCTGAACMAGCAAGGACCTGCCAGCCAAAACCCACAAAACCTCTAATTGGATTTTAAAAGAGAACTACCAGCATCTACAGAGCTGCTTTATCCTTGTACACAGAAGGCTTTTTGGGGGTGAAAATCTCGGAGCAGCAAAGGGGAAGCAAGCGTAACATGGAGCCTTATCCTTGCAGAGCACAAGGCCGGGCTCCTCCTGCAGCCCCCGGAGCCGTGTCAGCACGAGGAAGGTGCATCCAGCCCGCGGGATGGGCTGCACGTGCAGAGCTGCTCTGTGCGCCCCGGGGAGCCCTGTCCTGGGTGCCGCGGGGCTCGGGTCGCTGTGCAGCCTTGCAAAGCAGCCTTGTGAAACCCACGGTGCGGCCAGCAGCCCCACAGCGAAACCTGCCCCTTCTGGGAGGAGGGACCGGCTGTAGGGACCCCAGCTGCTCTGCGCAGGGCAGGGAATGGTGTGGCCGGGATGCAGGAGAGTCTTGGRAACGGGGAGATGGGGGCATGGCTGGCCCGCTGCCGAGGTGCCCCGATACCTCTGGAGCAGCCGGGGCTGCCGGGGGGCAAATGTTTCTACTTTCAGCCTTGCTGTTCATGCACCAAACTCTTGAGCCATGGGCTGTGCTCATCGTCGCCCACGCAACGCAGAGCAGACAGCCGCCCGGCTGCTCCCGGCCTTCATCCAGGGCTTCTTGGAGCCGGTGTCGTGTCACCCAGGACAGGTCTGGGCACTGGGGACGTTGTTGCACAGCCCCAGGGCCCGGCGGCGTGCGGAGGTGCCGCCTGACCCCCCTCACCGCAGCCTCCTCCAGCCCGGGTCGGCGCTCAGCGCTTGCAGCTATCTCCAGGACAGGACCAAAGTCTGAGCCGTCTCCCCCAGTTGCCATGGAGAAGGCTGTAATGGTATTAGGAAGAGCAGCAAAACCATAAAAAAGCCTCCGTCCCTATTTAAACTGCTATGAATGATTAGCTCTACCCCGCTCTACGTCCACCTGTGTCCAGGGCCTCTCAGCTCCGCAGCCTCCGCCAGCAGCCCTGTTGTCCCACAGGCAGCAGGATCCCCAGCAAGGAGGGAAGTGGCTCCCGCTGCCGGCTCCGAGTCTCCCAGGATCTGTGTGTGATGGGAATCGCTGAGGGCCAAGTGGCTCTGGGAAGGCAGGGGCACCGCTGCTCCAGCTGCTGTGTCCCCCCGAGGCTCCTACACTGATAGCGACTGGGAATCGCTTCCCTGTGCAGTGGAAGGAACAACCGGGCTAGTTCTTGTGCTGCTTCTTGGGGTGGTTTTAGGGAGGAATTTGGCACTAGCTGTCAAACCCGCAGGAGGAATCGCATCCTGAGGACAGTGTCTGCTCTGAGAGGCTGCTTCGTGTCACACCGCAGGCTCTGCTGCTGCTCTCTCTGGCTTTTCTCTGCACACAGCGGTGCTCGGCTGCCAGGCRCAGAGTGACTCAAGGCTGAAGACTGGCCACAGACTGGCCGCCCGGTAGCCCCTGGAACTGGGGCTCACCCCTTGCTCTTCGCTCCGTGCGAGCAGCGCGGGCTGCTCGAGCAGGGCAGGCTGCGCCCTGCCAAGCAGGCRACGTCTGCTGGGTCCCCAAGGTCCCTCTGTGCCGCCGTGGGTGGCACAGTTGGAACAGCTCTTCTTCAGGCTGAACAAACCCASCTCTCAGCCTCTGTCCATGCATGGTGCTTTCCAGGTTCCTGACCATCCTSGCGGCCTCGGCTGACTTGCTCCAGGCTGTCGCTGTCCCTCTTGTCCTGGGAAGCTCAAGGTGGACAGTGTCAGGTTCGGTCTTGCAAGGGCAGACCAACGGGTCAGACCTCTTCTGACAGCAGAGCTCAGGGCTGGCTCCACTCAAACAAGTCTGCCAGGACCCCAGCGCTTTCTCTGCAGAGCTGATGGGTGCACAGGTACGATCCCGGCTCCCATTCGGGTGCCTCCCTGGGGTGTCTCTCCTCCCACTCATAACTGCAGAGCATCAACAAGCAGCTTCCASTGGGTCCCAGTGGCTTCAGCAACCATAAGCAGCCTGGAAGCCAAGCAAGTATTTTGGGCTTTTCTTTTACTGCGCGTTGGAGGCAGGGAGCAAAGAAAGACACCCAATGCACTGCAGGCCTGTAACCAGTCTAGGTTTAATACTCCATAAATATTAGCAGCTCCAGTTTCCTGTGACCTGGAAAGAGAAACGACAGTGAAAGTCGTTCACAAAATGCATCGTGCAGCTGCTGCCCTCGCAGCCCCGCGGCTCGGCGGGACACGCGCTGACCACCAAGGCTCTTCTCTCCCCGGGCTCTCAACGGCTTCCTCAGCTTTTTTACACTGCTGAAAGTGAGAAGCCTAAAGAGCTGGAAGGCCCAGCTTAGCTGAAGTCTGTA